AAGTACTTCCTCAATGTACTTCCTTTAGGAGTTGCTACCCACCGCCGGTTCCATGCTTCAATTGTATCTTCCCGGAGTATCCTCTTCCATCTATTAGGTGCTTCCATAATCCTCATCTGTAGATTCTTTGAAAGTACTGTAGAGCCTTCCCCCGTTGCCCGGCAACCTGATACATAACACTATGATAAAATAATAGTCACGAGTTCGCGTCCCAGTGCCTGAAGGAGTTTTTAAATCCCCGCCCACACTCCCTGGCCCGGAAAAACCCCCGTATAGCCTTAAAGGGGAGGAAAAAAAAAAATCAATAAAATATTAATTCTATCAACTGTATCTCTATTAATTTTTAAATCTGACTTATAATTATCTTTGTATATATGCAAGCATAATTTATAGTAATTATTACCTTGTCGCAAGCCTATTTAAGGTTACTTCTTCCAGCATATAAACCAGGATGTCGAAACAGTAGCACTATGTTTTATCTTTTCAAAGTTAAAATTATTATACGATGAGAGTTCAAGCACCCACTATAACGATCAGCTGCTGAATATGGATTGGCCTCTAGTTGTCTGCTAAATTGGACTAAGTTCGATAAAAACTTGCTTTCTTATATTCAGTTGGAGAGTGTTACCCACACCCGCCAAGGGGCTCGATTGGAAAGAACTATTCAAACAGAAATAATCCCTTAACTGTTTAACAAATCCATGCAGATGAAATAAAGAAATGAGTCATCACGTTATTTAAATCAAATGAAACATCACCAATAAAACTAAAATCATTTTTAAAACAATGGCACCATGCCAGCACCATCTGACATCTGTAACCTCAAGGTCTTTTGTAACTTATAGAAAACAAGTAATTAGAGAAACATCTATTTTCAAAGGCAATAACAGATTCTGTTTGAGAGAATCCAATTATAATAGAGTGAATAAAATCTCAAACTTATAAAAGTGAAATTTTTTACTCAAGTTCTGATCACTGATCTGAAACTAAGTTCACAAAATCATTATAGATCAGTAACTTATCCAATTCCATAAATGGAAAACTAGAAAAAATCAGAAGGGAATGAAAAACAGTTTAAATATGAAAAAAGAAATAATGCCCGTCATGCAACAAGTCTGACCAACCGAAACAGATTCACGCGCCATTTTTTTGTCATGTAACAGAACAGTAGAATGAAATTTTGGTTAAAATCAAAATAAATAAAATTTAACATTTTAAAAAATAAGAACTTTATTTGTATGCTATGATTCTCAATTTAATTAACCCTTAAGTCTTTGTTATTGAGATTTTTTATTCTTATTTTCAATAAATGTTTTAAGTTCTTTCAGTAACATTTTGTATTCATATATGTTATCTATCAAATATAGCACTGGATTATATCTATTAAACAAGCATTATAACAATAGGACATGTAAATTTTCATTTATTTTATACACATACTATGAAAAATAAATTATTTATTGAAATGAAACATCACCCAGTGGGCAGTGGATTGCCTAGGCCTTCTTTAGAAGTAACCCAAAATTGTGAACTAATGTGTATTAGCCAACTAAAAACATATTATAGATGGGTAATTTATCGACTGATCAATTATTAGGATGAAATAAAAACAAGTGATTTTTTTGTGGATTTTAAATGTAACATGGAGGTATCCAGTGATTTAATTTTTTAACAAGAACTGAGAATGAGAGTCAGTTCATGTTGACGAAGATGGCATTTTTTTATGGTGCCCAAAAAAGAGGATATGCCAAGTAATCCTCATTTTGAGTTGGAGCTCTGGTAGAAACTGGTCAACTGCTGATCACAGATGCTTTTATTACTTTTGGTTTTCTCTGAATTGTTTTATAACTTGTAATTAGGTGTTCAATTATTTACAGTGCTGTTCTAATTTATTGCATAAAAATAGTTTTAATGAGTTTTGTTAAAACAAAAGTAATCATTGTTTGTGGGATTTTAAGAAATAAAGACCATATTGCGTTATGATTTCGTGGAAAGAATATGATATTTTATTGATCAGGAAGTTTACTATATCATTAAATCCCAACTGAAAATCTATAATCTGCCTCGATAATTATGGAATATGATTTTGGCTATTGAAGAAAAGTCAGAAAAATGAGAACTAATCGTGAAGAAACAGATTGAACTTAAAAATCAATATCAAGGGAACTGAACGAGTAAGCTTTAAGGATTAAGCTTGAGGAAGGTAGAAGTTGTCAATTTTGTTTGTATGAAAACAAGAGGAAAATTGCTTAGGTATAAATATATTTCTTGTGAAAAACCTACTGCTTAAAAAAATATGTGCTATAATTTTTGGTGATATGAACAGAAAATTGCATATTATATTTTCTTTGTAATTTATTTATTTTTTCTTCTTTCTATCTCTTGTTCAATTTCTTTCCTTATATATATATATATTTGTAAACAATCTTTAAGTAAAAACACTGTATTTGCCACCAAAAACTGCAAATTTAAGTTCCTACTAGAAATAAATTTGTAATGGTAGATAAATGGTTGTAGATTCTTATAAAAGAAGTTGGTTGGGGATTGCAGTCATTAGAAGCGCACACACACACAAATATTTATTTTCTTTGTGCCGACGTTTCAGGCTTTCTGGGTTAAGCAAAAACCAGATACCAAATAAGTAAAAAATAATTAGACAGGTATATGTAAAAATATTAAGATTAGTATATGTAAGTAGATAAGCATAACAATAATAATTAATGAATGGAAAATATATGATATATACATTTAGGAAGTTATAAAGTAATAGTAACAAAGTGAGAAAATTAAATAATGGTAAAAACTCATTGAGTTGTAAGATAACTATGACAAAGTGATAAAACTAATATTGATAAAATAACGGTAACAACATTTTGGAATATTAAGTATATTTACAATAAAATTGTAATGCTTTTCAACTGTGTTGAGTTGCTGACACAGCATACTAATCTATATGGTAGACAATTTCTAAAAAATCAGCTTGGTACACTTTATATAAAATTGTCATTTGTTGTTTCTTTTCTCATCCTCATTCTTCTCAATTCTGTCTCCCGGATTCATAAAGCAATGACCTGATTTAATAGAGGTGATGGTGCAGGATTTCCAATTAATCCAAAGTAATGGACTCCGCCATACTCTGTATTTCATACCTTTCAACATCTAGCTTTTCCAAAAAACTAGCAATTGAATAAATCGGAGAAGTAAGTATCAAAATAAGATATGGTTGTAACTAAAAGTTGATGTAGTATATTCAGAGGACATAAAATAAACATAGGACAGTAATAATAAAAAAAAAAAAAAATGAAATATTATGTTATATAAATAAAATGATTAGGAGTGGGAGAGGGGACTAAGTCCAGTAAGTGCCCCTATTGCTTCTTTTTGTCAACCCCAAAAACAATTCTACCAATGGTTGTCTATTAGACCTCCAACTCTTAAATAAAATAATAAGATGTAGTGAAATCTGTAGAAACAGTTGTATTTGTAAACACTTGAATTTTTAAACATAGAAATTAAGTGATATATAAATTAAGAGAATAAAATCTATTGATACAATAAGTAAATGTAACAATATAAAAAGAAGTTGTTTATCCTTTTATTCAGGATTTATTTTTTCAGTAACATTTTGTAATCATATATGATATCAATTTAATGTGCGTTATAATAATAGAACATTATAAAATTTCATTTGTATACATGTGAAACAATTGGTTTAATAAAGTACAGAATCACCCAGTGAGCAGTGTATTGGCTTGGCCTTTAGAAGTAACACAAAATAGTGAAATGATTTGTATTAATAGTGATTAAGTAAACAATGATAAAATAATGGTAACAACTTGATAAAATAAACAAAGCAATGCAAAATGAAATAACAACGAAATAAAATGTGGAACATTAATAAATCAGAGGAGTAAGTAGTAAACTGAAATAAATAGGATGTGTATTATGATACTGCTGTTATAATATGTTCAGAGGAACCACAATAAGATGTCGTAAAATCTGTCGAAACACATTGTAACCATAGAAATTAATTGGAATATAAAGTTATATTAATTAAGAGTTTAAGATCTACTTATAAAATAAGTAAATATAACAAAATAAAATAAAAAAAGTTGGTAGGGATATGAAAAATAGCAAAGGGATTAAGGTAAGTGATGTGAATAAGAAAATAAATGATCATTTATACAGTTGCTTATTTGTTTGATCACTTTGTTACCGATATTTTATTACTTCCTAAGTTATTGCCATTATTTTATTATTGTTTTCTTTATCACTTTGTTACTGTTTCTTTATAACTTCCTACAATTATATATTATGTATATTCCATTCATTATGTTTGACCGCTTACATATTCTAGTTTAATTATTTTCTCACTATTTGTTTGTTGTTTAGTCTTTGCTTAGCCTAGATGAAGTTCCGAAACCTAAGCCAAAACGTTGCCACATAGAAAATATTTTTTTTTTTTTTTTGTACTTCTGATGACTTCAATCCCCAACCAACTTCTCTTACAGAAATAAATTTGTATTTATTCCTTACATACTGGTGAAGGTGGAGTGGAATAGAAAACTATTAAAATAGACAAGAAAAATATAGTTAAAAGGAACATAAAGGTCTAGAATATCGATGTTTCATCATAATGCCGAATGAAACTTGTCCTAGTCAAAGGGTTAAAACAAACACAAAGAGAAAAAAAAGTAAGTAATGTGCAGGCTAGGTTTTCTTTCATAACAGATTTTGGTTTAAAATGTTTTAGAGAACATAGTGTTATTGGTTTAATAATGAACAAATTAATAGTCGTAAGGGTTTTTATATCAATCAAAAGTCAGCCAACTAAATAAAGAAAATACAAATATAGAACCCTCTTTATCTGTTTTTTTTTTTTTTTTTTAATCAGTTCAATTTTATCTCAGATAAAACTCAACATCCATATAAAAACTTAACAATGATATTAGTCTGTTTGATCTTGACTCTAATTATTTATATCTCCAATTACGTTTCAGGGATTTTTTGAGGCAAATGACATTCATAACAACAGAATAGCTGGATTTGAAGTTAAAGCTGGTGCAAATCCAACTGTTGTTCAGTGTGAAATACATCATGGTCAGACAGGTGGTATCTATGTTCATGAAAATGGCCTGGGTCAGTTTATTGATAATAGAATTCACTCAAATAATTTTGCTGGAGTTTGGATTACTTCAAATAGCAACCCTACAATTAGACGAAATGAAATATATAATGGGCAACAAGGTGGCGTGTATATATTTGGAGAAGGGCGAGGTCTTATTGAACACAATAACATTTATGGTAAAATAGTTTTTTTTTATTATTATTTATATATATATTAAGCCCATTATGGTATTTTGGGAGAATATTTATTGCTTACCACAAATAAGACTTAAAAAGTAAAATTAAAGGCTTCAGCATATTCCATTTGTCTCTTTGTTTGATTACCTACTATTTATTTTAGTTAAAAGTGAGTTAGTGCATGCGCTAATTTCTAATAACTCATCTGCTATTTTATCTCCCACAAATGATTTAATTACTAGTGAATTAGTGAACTTTAGGGTTAAAAAAAGAGTACTAGTTGAACAATTAACAATTCATTTTTCATGTGGACTTAAAAACGGTGAGTAACCGCTTGTTTATTAAAGTTTAATAAACCATATAAACAACAATAGTTTTATGTAGATTAGCCATTGTTATCTGGTTATTACAGCTCTCAATGTTCACCTGTAGAATAAAGGCCTAGGCTTTGTTACAGAAAAACGCCACCATCAACACCTGACAGACCAACTGATACCATTAATGGCCCACAACCCAGTTCTTCAACTCAAATGACAGATGAGTCTCGATTTGTAAATAACCTGTTCGGTGACAATTGTAAATAGCCTCTTCGGTGCCAATTGTAAATAACCTATTCGGCAGCTATTGTAAATTACCTGTTCGGCGGCAATTGTAAATAACCGTCTGTTTTGTTGGGGTCTTAGTTATTGAATGATAAATGCTTTATTAAATATGCATAAATTATAAATTTCCAAAAATACACAAAACATTTATACGGCATGATTATTCCTCTACCAGAAATTTTATGTTTTACAGGTACAGTACAAATAAAGACTTCATAACAATTACATATACGTGAATAACTGAAAAATAATGAAACAACTAATACAATATAAAATAATTAGTGTTTTGAATAATTTATATCTAAGAAATAATAATAAAGGAAAATTAGGGAAACCATAAACAATATCATGAATAAAACTGACAAATAAATTAGACAGATCATTATTTATGCTGGATGTAGCCAATTAAAATGTTGTCGAGCAAAACCGACAATTTTATGACATTCGTTCACAGAGGGGGCATTTAGAAGGGAAATGAGGATATCATTTCAAACCGGGCTAGTTCCAAGAAATTCGATACCAATGTGACTAAGCCTTGAACATTCAGCCAGAAAATGGAACAGGTCCTCCTTTACTGGTAGGTTACAGAGTGGACAATCCGTATATTGTCAAGCCATGGGATGTAATTCAAATATAGGAGTTCATACCTGAGCTTGAACAACCAACTGAACTCGCGCCCAGTTAAATCCCAACAGCAGCCATCCACGAATTTCAAAAGATTATGACCCTATACAATAGAAATCGATCAGAATTCAATGCTGCTAATTTACACTGATCCCAATGTTGCTGAGTGATTGCAGACCATATTGTTGCCAACTGGTCTTTCCATAACGAAAAATATTCCAAAGACCTATCAAACCTGCAAGAGTATCTTTCCGCCAAATTTCACCAATTTTTAAACCAAAAAATATTACGTTTAATCACTTCAATGGCAGATAACTCTGGAGAGACGACTTCCAGGCAGGCACAGTAACTTAAGACAATACTTAAAATGCAACTGTAATAATCGTGGACTTGTGGCTGTTTCTAAATAAATCATATTATTTGGTGTTGTTGGAGGCAACAAAAACAATTTCTTAATGAAAAATCTCTGAAACTTTTCCAATATGTCATATCCCTGAAAACCCCAGACTTGAGCCGCATAGCATACTATGGAGCGCAATATCGCATCAAATATTTGTTTTTTGGCGGATAGTGGGATCAGATCTTGAGCAATGAAACTTGACCAATTCCTATTAAGGCCCATTTTAGCAGCCGATATACGATCTTTCAAATGGTAAGTAAATGAAAGACTGGAGCTTAGCGTGACACCCAAATATTTATAAGTATTGACTACCTCTATTGGTAAACCCTTAAATCGCCATTTATCTGCAGCAGCCAGTCTTCCACCTTTCCTAAAAACCTCAACCAATATATACAAGTTAAAAAAACAAAAACTTTTCCCATTTGTGCTTATTTGTTCACACATGACTTTAATTCAATTATGGACTATATGTAAGATGCATGATTAAATAAAATGGTATGGAGCCAATGTAAAATGGAAATAAATGTGGTGAAGTAAAAAAACAGCCTTACTTTATATTATAACTTCCCACATTTTTCGCTATGAATTTGATTGATTGGTCATCCCGTATTGATCTTCAAGTTACATGCCTAATATTCTTTAAATCAGCCTCCATTTTTACAGGTAGCAAGATCCAACTGGCAGACCCATTTTTTTTTTCTCATACAAATGTACTAAGCATTCAAAAAAATGCTTTCGAAGTTGTCATCTAATAATGTCGATTTTTTCTCACGGGCTCTCGGACTATCAGTTTTATGGCTTGATGACTTTTACTATCTAACCATTTCCAATAGCTATTCCTAGTTGCAGGGTACCCGGAAAAAACCCTCAAGACCTAGATAATGCAGTGAATTCTATAAAAAAATTTATCATCTTAATAAGAGATTTTATGTTGACATTCATTTACTACATGCATAGCCAAACTGAGTTTTTGGTGATATTATTTATGATTATAAAACATAAATAATATTGTAACTTATGTAGAGAATGTGTAAGAACCTTCTTAAAACTATAAATTTTAAAATCATCCTGTTAGTTGTGATGATTATCATGGGTGATAAATGTTCAGGAAGCAGTCATTATAAAGTTTTTATTAGTGCCGATGTTTCAACCCCAACATGTGGGTCATCATCATTGTGGTTTGAGCACTGAAGGTATTCAAGTGGTGTGATGATTATCTCTTATTTAAGTATGTATGTTTAGTTTTGAGCCATCTTTTTATCCTTTAAAGAGTTCTGTCTCTACACCAAACTAATATTTGTTTTTATCTGCTTCTTAGGAAACGCTTTGGCTGGGATACAAATTCGTACTAATAGTGATCCAATTGTAAGGCATAACAAAATTCACCATGGTCAACATGGCGGAATTTATGTACATGAAAAAGGTGAAGGACTGATAGAAGAGAATGAAGTTTATGCCAACACTTTAGCTGGTGTTTGGATTACTACTGGGTCAACACCAGTCCTTCGCCGAAATCGAATTCATTCTGGCAAACAAGTTGGTGTATATTTTTATGATAATGGGCATGGAAAGCTTGAGGATAATGATATATTCAATCACTTATATTCTGGAGTACAGATCAGGTATAGAATTTTTCTAGGCTACAGTAAATATCTCAATCTCAGAATGTTGTATGTTAAGTATTTGAAAATAAAGCAAATAAATTAAGAAGCGAATGTAGTGTTGCATAAAAATAAAAAATAAAATCAATTTTTTTTCCTTGGACCAAGGGAGGGTACTCATAGGGACTAATATAGAAGGAAGCTGGAGGGTATTGTCCGTTCCCCCTTCCCGAGCAGGTATGCATGCTATTCCTGGAACTGTGTTAGGTTTGAACATGTTAACTTCACAATGTTGCTTAGAAGACATGATGAAAAAACAGGCAATGCTAATTTCAACCTAAATTGGTGGGTATTCATTTTTTGTTCCATACTTTATAAAGGCTTCGGTTGAGTTTTAATGGTAATTTAATTTTTAAGGGGTCCAGGAAAATTATTCCTAGGGTCCTTGGTTTTCTTTCCACTGTCCTATTGAGCAAGTATTGGGATCACTATCTGAATAAGGTTGAAATTGAGTGTACATTCTATGCCGCTGGGTTGAATAAAAAAACTACTAAACTATTTTTATTATTTTTTGTATAATTCCCTACACCATATGTTCTTCCTATATCTTATTATGTGGCTAAGATATAGGCAGATAAAACTTCTAGTTATTATTATTATTAGTTTTGAAATTAGTTAAATGAATTAAGTTGTTGGATCCATTTAAATTATTGTTATGTTTTTAAGTTTTTAATAATTTATATATTTTTACTTCTAGTTTTAATTTATATAAATCTAATTTTTTTTGTTATTCAATCAAAGGAGTTAAACTATTCTAAAACTAATTTTATTAATTAGTATGAATTACATGTCAACAAAATATCTATTTACAAAACAATTACTGATTCTTACCTAAAACAAGAATTGTTTAACAATCTGCTGTTGAGACTATTGTCTAGGGAGCAAAATATTTTTGAGGAAGAGCAATCATCGGGTGCAGTCGACTCATACTCGGCCTCCACTCTCCCTCCTCAGTTTTCTCTAACCTCTTGTGCTTGATGTTTCTCATCATGTTCTCTACTTTAATTTTACTTTTAATGAATCGTTTTCTTTTTTTTTTTTATCAATTGGTTTTTTATTTTCAGCCGTTTTCTTCTTTTTTTTATCCATTGTTTAATTTTTTTAACTATACCTTTTTTTATCAATTTTCTGAGTTGCTGCTCTGATTTTCAACTATTACTCTAATTTCTTTTGTCTCATCTATTTTTCTTGTTGTAACCATAGAAGATTCAAAATTTTAATAAATTGTTTGTAAAAAAAAAATAATCAAAATATAAATAAAGTTAATCATATTGTGAACTTTATCTTTCATCTTCCATTTGTTTTTATTACTTCGTATATGATCTATGTTTCCAGGTCCTACTTCAGCCTCAGGATCACCAAAATTATTCCTCTAAATGTTAATCATTAATAGATTGGCTATTACGAGTTTTTGAAGTGCTTTATGAAGGACAACTGATCTTTAAGAACACATTTATGATTTTGGTCAAATTTATCAATACAAAAACTCATTAAGACCATCAAAATAACACAAATATTAAGCAATAAAAACATCAAAACTCCTTCATTGTATTTTAACCACATAACTCAGAGCTCTATATATAAAGAAAGGTTTCAATGTACATATTGTGAGTTTATTGAAAAAAGTGCTTTAGGGCATGGATGGAGCTGAACTTTTATAAATGTTTTTGTAAATTTCGACCCTATTTATTGCAGAAAAAACAACAACATTTTTTCGACCATAAAAACTCAAACCTTTTTATTTATCAAATGTAATTAGTTACAACTGCAATTTTACTAAGGTAAAATTTTAAATGTTAAATGCTATGATGTAAGGTTATGAAATGTCACATAACTGACTTTTTGCAATAAACTGACAATATATTTAATCTACAAGTAAGTAAGGACTCTATTACATAGTAAAAATTAAAGAAATTAAATCTTTATTACTTTAAATGAACCGTCAAATTTCGCCTCTTTAATTTAAATTTTCGTAAAGAAAGCAGCGCCGTTCTACTGATTGACCGAAGTTGTGTGTTCAGATGAGGTTTATCTCTAATTAAAATGTTTACTAGCTATAACTCCTTCTTTTAAATAAAATTGTTGGTAGCTCCTTGTCTTTTAGTTGAGTATTGAGAAGAACCGATTTTGTCGTGAGTAGATAGGTAGTCTTTGTTTTTTGAATATAAATGATTTAGCACGTCCTCGATTAGATTCGCAATTTTTTTCAAATTGTAAGTTTATGTTGAATTTTTGAGCCAAGATATTATTAGACTCTTCAGTCTCCAGTCGGCAACATATATAGATTTTTTCTTATATCTAGAACTTTTTGATCTTCTTTATTCTTGTTAAACTACTAAACAGAAATATGAATTTAACACTAAGAGTGGGAATGAAATTGGCTCAATAAATTTGATTCTTAAACAGAGAACGATTGGAATAAAATATTTCCTCGATAATTGAGATATAAACAGGAAGGTTTTTAGGAGTTCAACTGTCGCTATGTACAACCATTTTTTCTAAAAACTCTAAGAAATCGAGTCAGTAAATCCAATCGCTGTATCCATTCAAAATCACATTATAAAAGCCATCTGAATCATCGAACATGGCGTTTTCGTCGTTAGAGCCGATACATCCTTATAATCGTTATATTCCGTGGTACAGACCACTTTTTATGAAATTATTAGCATCCGGCTGAATCTTCATCTCATCATAACCTACAAATATTTTATTTACGAAAATTTTCAGAATTGGAGCGTTTTCAATCTGGAGGTCGGCGAACTTTGTCTATTTAATTAGATACTAAGAACTCGTAAATACTAATTTGCTTTTCACTTTAATCGTAAGACAACTTGAGCACTAAGTTGAGAAAAAAGGTGGCCTTAAAAAATATTGAGTCTTTAGGTGTAACCTACATCCCCAAATTGTCAAAATAACGAGGTTATACAGGCCAAATAGCTCAATATTTTTGAAGGCCACCTTTTTTCGCGACTTAGTGCTCAAGTTATCTTATGGTTAAAGTGGTAAGCAAATGGATATATACGAGTTTTTAGTACCTTTTATTGAATAGACCTTATTAAATAGTAAGTAATAGTAGTAGTAGATATTATTAAATAGTACCTTATTAAAGTTTGCCGACCTCCATTTTGAAAACTCCCCAATTCTGAGAATTTTCATAAATAAAATATTTGTAGGTTACAATGAGATGAAGCTATTTACGAAGTTTCAGCTGGATGTTAATAATTTCCTAAAAAGGGGTCTGTACCACGGGCTATTATATACAAATTGTAATTTGAAGAAATTTTAATGTAAGCTGCAGCCTTGATTATTATAAGCCCTTCAATATTGTTATAAACTATAAAATCACATCTCTATTCCAACTTAGTAAAAATCTCATTTTAATAAATACTTTTTTCCGTTCTCCCATTAATTTATCGAGAGATAAATAAATTGAAACGTCAAATCATTGTTAATTTCACACTTTAATTAATAATACTAAAAATACAATTGAAAAACCATTACCTCGGTCGAGACGGCAAAGGCCTCGGGAAGTGATAGGTCCAATGTAGGCTATGATGCCAATGGGGGTCGTTTATGGGAGTTTTTTTTATATTCAGTTTTGAACTCTGCAGCTACCAGAAATTTAGTTTAGATATATTCAATTGTGGATTAGTAGTATTGTTCAAAAATTCGATTTTACAGATAGTTCAGGAATGGTTGAGTTGCCTTTTGATTTTTAACTGTTAATAGTGGCGAATGATAGATACCTTTATAGTATTTAAATTATATTTTTATTTAAAGTATGTGGCAACGGTGGTAGCAATTCATTGGCTGGCAAGCACCCATTCATCCGTCCTGTGGTGCTCCTTATAGTCCTGGAGCCTGTGACAAAAACGGTGTCATATTTCATACTAAGGTTTGATGTTAAAATCCATGCATATCTTGTAAAATGATCCTCTAACAAATACATATATTTATGTGCTTATCTGTTTCTACCAAAAACGTCTAATCGTATCAATACACCTGATTTCAAATGGATATTCTGCTGTTTCTAATTTTGACAATAACAGAATTGGCTCTCCTGATTGAGATTTATTTTTCACAACATACCTTGCATTGCTTACACTACTGGTAGATCATAAAATCCATTAATTTAAAATAATAAAAGGATTTAAGCTTTTCAGATATTTGTTTACTGCCAATGTGAACTGCCACAAAATTTATGGATCTTATCAAACAAATAAAAATCCAATTTTGTTGACATGTAAATTGGTTTCCTGTTATTTAGTAGTCAAAACATAATCTCACCATCTCTAATAATATATTTTGATTTTTCTATTTCTGCTTTGTGGGCTTGTTGGCCTTTCATTATATTTTCGATTTGGATAATATTAACTATCTTTAAACAATCGTCTTCATTTTGAAAGCTTTCCAGGACTGAATTTCTAAATAATGCAGCAGCTTCCATGTTATCTTTCTCTTCCTTTGTCACGGTCTTTAATTTGGAAAAAAAATTTCCGCATGCTCAGTGGAGACGGTAGGGTTCGCAAAAAAAAAGAAGAAAAATAATCCAGAGTCAATTAAATATTAATAACTATCTAACAGGCGCCTCGCTATTTAATTTCTTGAATTTGAAAAATAGCGAAAACCATAAAAATAAATAAAAAAATTTAATTTAAAAAAAGATTAGATGCGGAGTGAGCTACGAACTCGGAACCTGTGGGTTTAAAAACATATGTTAATTAACCTCATAACCTATCAAACCTTCTTACTCGGTTAATATTAATTTTCCCTAATCCCCCGGGTATTACAATTCCTTTTTAGACCTTAAAAAAAAACAATATAATATATACATAAAACGTGAAAACAAACAGAAGAAAAAGAAGAAAATAAAACTGGCTATTATTAATACTAATGATGAATTTGCTTATTTCTATTGATTTAAATAACTGTTAAAGGAAATTAAAATTATGAACAAAAAA